TTTTTTATCAAAACCAACACCATTTAAGCTGAATACTGTAATGTTACTGCCTACAAAAAGCCAATATAGAGTGCTAAATGGGAAGCAAAATGTGTTGATTTCAGTAAAAAAAACAAAAAAGTGAAAAATGGAGTTCAGTCCTGGATTTTTTCATAGTCCATCTAGTTGATATTAAAGATTTGGCGTGTTTGTATATGGGTAAAAAGAGAATTTAGGACTTATATTCCATAGCAGATTTTTTTTTAATAGAACGGTGTTTGAATTGAAAGAAGTACAATAATTCAAGAAGTAGAATATCCGGAGCTGTGTTAAAGACTCTAGCACAGAAGTGAAATCAAAAATTCATTTGAATATTAGACGCCCTAGCATTTTATATAAAAACAATAGTTGCCACCAAAGATGTAAATGGTCCTACTAATGCCTTTAAAAAACTCCCGCTTTGAATGGATATGCTTTAGAGCATATTTCAACGTCTAACCCGCTACACTATACATTCGCAGTATCCTCTTTTTCCGCTATTTACATGAAGGATAATAAAATATACGTGTCGAGTATGGAGTTTCAATTTAAAACATCGCAGACGTATTATTACATAAATTCTAACTTCATTTCCTACTTATCCTTGCATGCATGCAAGCGTCTTTCGTAAGCATGTGCTACGCCACTGCTAGCTTCCGAGCTGGTTAATCACCATTGACGATGAGTGTATAACTAACCTCACTTACCAGTGAAAGGCGATATCTGCAGTAAACAAGCTATTACCAGCCTTATCGGCGTCACCAGACACTATTTTAGGTCCACCCACTTAACAGTCCACAGAACCGGGAGGCTAACGAACAACCGAAACGGAAAAAACGAACACGAACTCGCAAAATATCAACAAAAGCAACACCGCATTTGCCGCGAAATAGGCAGAGCGCGGGACGCACGAGCAACTTGTCAACCGGTCGCAGCGTCATCGGAACGAGGGGAGCGCGAACAGATGAATGGCTTGGCTCGGCGTTGCCACGTCTATTATGCGGTCTCGCTCAAGCAGTGGCGTCACGGAAGGGGGCACGGTGGCGATTTATTCAGGTCGTTTAAAGCTCGCATTTAGGTAAGTAAGAACGGTAGTCAGGTCGGGGGGATGAATATGTGTTCGTTGAACATAAGAATCACTTATAATGGAAGTGATAATATTTGAAAAACATATGAGGAAATAAGCACAAGATGATTAAAATAACAGTGGCAATGTTTGCAGGGCAGAAAACCTGACCGAAAATAGCACCGAAAAGTTTTCCTGAATTGCATCGTACAATTTGTATACCAGGTGTTTTAAATTCGACTGTCACCATTGTGTTCTCGGAAACTGTAAGCTATACGAGGTTGATTAAATGGGGACAAAGTTGCGTATTTAGGTAGTTGTTCTCGTTTGGATTTCGTAGCAAACGGACGTGCTGATAAGCGAATCGACGAGTACGAGTACGAGTACAAATAATATAATCATAATAATAAAAAAGTGTTCCATAACAAAAGCTGTAAAAACGTGAAACAAAATAAGTGTCGTTAGTTAGCAGTGCAAGAGCTGGTGGCACCGGTTGTGCAGGTGGTCTAAAACATTTCATCAACAATGTCTCATAGCCAGGATGTGTCAGTAATAGAGCATAATCAAATACTAAGAATGTCATCAACAAGTGAAGAAGAATTAGAGGACTCACAACAAAATAGAAATAACCCGTGGCAAGTGATGAGAAGCGTTAAAAGGAGGAAAGTTGCCAAAGAGCAGAACAAAGAAACAACGGAAACTGTAACTGTAAACAACAGATTTGATATCCTAGCAGACAAAACAGATGATAATGTCGGTAATAACACTCAACGAATTCCAAAGCCACCCCCAATCTTTGTTCATTGAGTGATCAACTACGAGGAAATGGTCAACACCATTAGAGACATATTAGAAGACGAGCAATATATCACGAAGAGCCTCGCAAACAACGTTGTGAAAATAAACTGCGCAACCCCAGAATCATACCGTAAGCTCATCAGAAACTTCAAAGAAAATAGTATCTTTCACCATACCTACCAACTGAAAGAAGAGCGATCATACAGGGTAGTGATAAGGTATCTACATCACTCTACAAAAATCGATGATATAAAAGAGGAGCTGGGAAAACTGGGTCACAAAGTTCGCAGCATAATAAATGTTCTTCATAGGACTACCAAAGAACCACTAAACTTATTCTTTGTAGATATTGAGCCAGCCGAAAATAATAAAGATATATATAACATCAGAGGATTACAGAATAAAACTATTCAAATAGAGCCACCCAGACCTAGAAAGAACAATATCATCCAGTGTATGAGGTGCCAACAATTTGGACATACTAAAACATACTGCAACAAACCATACTTATGTGTGAAATGTGGTGGTCCCCATAATACTAAGGACTGCAAGAAGCCGAAAGATGCGCCAGCAAAATGTGCCCTTTGTGGTGGCAGTCATACTGCAAACTATAGAGGCTGCGAACACTACCACAGAACATTGAAAAATAAAAATCCCACCTTCCAAACCCCCCTACCACCTATAACTAGTGAACCAGCTTATGTTAACAATGTTGAGCCCGCCACTAACCGCCAATACTCAAGAACGTATGCAGATGCAGTAGCCAACAACACTGAAAACTCGGTAAGTCTAACTTCTACAATGAATAAATTCCTAGATGAATTTAAAAATATGTTCAACCAGCTCCTACAACAAAACAGTCTGATCCTCAATATGATTGCCACGCTAATCAACAAAATCAATTAAAATGGCCAATTTTCTAAGAATTGCCCAGTGGAATGCCAATGGTCTTCCTAGTCATAAAGAAGAAGTTAAATTGTTTTTACAGCAAAACTATATAGACGTCCTACTAATCAGTGAAACACATTTCACTGAAAGAAGCTATTTTTCTATACCCGATTATATACTTTACAATACAAATCATCCCGATGGTACAGCACATGGAGGAGCTGCAGTACTTATTAAAAAAACAATCAAACACCACGAAATGCCTAAGTATGAAGAAAACCATATCCAGGCAGCATCTGTAAAAGTAAACAGTCTTCCTTACGATATAACAGTATCAGCTGTCTACTGTCCACCACGTCATAACCTCAAAAATGAGCAATTCAAAAATTTCTTTATAACTCTTGGTCCAAAATTCATTGTTGGGGGGGACTACAATAGCAAGCATACCACATGGGGCTCACGGCTCACAACAACAAAAGGAAGAGAACTGATACAAGTCATATTAGAAAACAACTACACGTTTATTTCACCAGAAGCACCTACTTATTGGCCTACAGATGTAAATAGACTTCCCGATCTTTTAGACTTCTTCATAACCAGTGGCATATCTTCATCTTATACAGAAATATCTTCAAGCTTTGACCTCACATCAGACCACAGCCCAATTACCCTAACTCTGAGCACAGCAGTGATATGTAAGAAACCCACTCCAAGATTGCATAATAACAAAACAAATTGGGATAGATACAAACAGATAATTGTAGATAACATCAATCTCTCAACCAGATTGAAGCAGCCAAATGATATAGAGGTCGACTGCAATAGCTTTATTTGTACACTCCAACAGGCAGCGAAAGAATCCACACCATTCATAGACTGTGCTTACAAAACAAAAAATATCCCCGTTGAAATAAAGAAGCTAGTTGCAGAGAAGAGAAGAGCACGATCAATCTGGCAACGTACCCGCACGCCAGCCAGCCGAACAAAGTACAACACCTGCTGTAATAAGCTAAAGTCTAAACTCCAAGAAATGAGGAATGCCTCCGTAGAAGGCTACGTATCTCAACTCACGAGACAAGATAACTCCATATGGAAGCCCATAAAAGCTAAGAGAAAACCTCATTCTACATCACCCCCAATCCGTAGCCAAACAGTAGCTAATGGTCAATGGGCAAAAAGCGATAAAGAAAAAGCTGACGCATTTGCACAACACCTTGCCGAAGTGTTCATCCCACACAATGAAGATCCAGTGCAGGAAGTAGATGAAGCCAATCTCATCCATCTTTTAACTCAAGAACGGTTAGCACCTTTCTCTCCGAAGGAATTACAAAATGAAATAAACAGGCTAAATATAAAAAAAGCTCCCGGAGCTGACATGATCACAGGCAAAATGTTACAAGAACTTCCCAAGAAAGGCTTGATGAAATTGCTTTATATATTTAATGCGATTATAAGGCTAGACTACTGGCCCATGTCCTTCAAGAGTGCGCTAATAATTATGGTACCGAAACCAGGAAAAAATCTAATGGATATTAGTTCTTATCGCCCGATCAGCCTCTTGCCAGTAATTTCTAAGCTTTTGGAAAGACTTATCCTGAATAGAATAAATGGCCAACTGGATCGGCTAGCTTGGATCCCTAATCCTCAGTTTGGCTTTAGGCCGGCTCACTCAACTGTGCAGCAGTGTCACCGCCTTTCGGATATAATCGCCAAATCCTTCGAAAGAAAAGAATACTGTACGGCAGCCTTCCTAGATGTGAAGCAGGCATTTGATAAAGTGTGGCATCCAGGCTTGTTGCATAAAATAAAGAAAGTATTGCCAGCCAAGTACCTCAAGTTGCTACAATCCTACTTAAGTGACCGCTGCTACAAAGTTAAAGTAAACAGTGAGACTTCAAGCTACTACCCTATGAAATCAGGAGTCCCACAGGGCAGCATACTGGGTCCCTTACTATATGTCGTATATACAGCGGATATACCCACAACAACTGAAACAACAGTTGGCACATTTGCAGACGATACGGCGATTCTTGCAACTGATGAAGATCCCGACCACGCTTCAAGTAAACTACAGAGGCACCTAGACGATATAGGAAGTTGGCTGAACAAATGGAAGATCAAAGTCAACGAAACCAAATCCACGCACATCACCTTCACTTTCCGCAAAGGACAATGCCCAGCTGTTTCCTTGAATCAAGTCACCATACCTCAACATGCAAGTGTTAAATACCTGGGATTGCACATGGACAACAAAATAAACTGGAAGCAACATTTATCCAAGAAAAGAAAACAGATCGACTTGAAAAGTAAAGAGTTAAATTGGCTGATAGGACGCAAATCAAAACTAAGCATAGAAAACAAGTTACTGATATACAAAGCCATCATCAAGCCCATTTGGACTTACGGGATCGAACTCTGGGGCTGCGCTAGCAAGTCAAACCTTTCAATCATTCAACGAGCTCAATCAAAAATCCTTAGAAGCATTGCAGATGCGCCTTGGTATGTCTCAAATGAAACGCTCCATAGGGATCTGAAAATCCCATTCATCAGTGAAGTCATCATGGAAAGAAGTTGCAAACACCATGCTAGGCTTAGCGACCATCCAAACCCACTGCTGCCATCGCTATTAGATCCCACTGAGACCAGGAGACTGAAAAGGAAATTGCCACTAGACTTGCAAGACTGAGGTGACATCGTTGTATGTCTGCTTCATCCCGTCATGAGGTACAACTACTTAAAAATTGTACCATCCAGCAAATTAGCTTATAGAATGTACATACACTCTGATCGCTAATAAAGTAGAGAAAAAAAAAAAAAAATTTAGGTAGTTACAATACGCCGCTTGGGAAGTTTCGAAATTCAAAGTACTTCTGAAGAGAGACGGAACAAGCCGAGTCTTCAAACATCGATTTAACGTTATTTATAGTAGGATTCCAAAATAAAATGCACGTTGACATTGTGCCACGTTTTCTCCTCTAAAAAGTCGCATAATATATATAATATTATTTTTTCTTATGCACGCCATCTTGGATTTTGGCTCAGATAAAGAAAGTTTATAATTCTGATTTGAAACATCCATAATGTAATGTAATGCATTGACATTGCCAAACCTTAGTTATTTCAGAAAAACGGAAGTTCCTAGGTAGGCCTTGAAATTATCAGATTTCATTTGTTTCGTATGCGAGACATCAAATTGATCATAAGAGTTTGGAAGACTGAGAAGAGAAATAAATCGAGCACTAAACAATATACAGAAAAGAGACAGGCTTTCCTTACAAAATAGTAAACAACATTTTGAACTTTCTGGTATTATTCACATATGCTTATTTATTATTGTTACTAAACAATATACAGAAAAGAAACAGGCTTTTCTTACAAAATAACAAACAACATTTTGAAATTCCTGGTATTATTCACTGCTTATTTATTATTGTTGTTACCAACAATAAAATTTTCATTTTGTGTTCAGGTTTCACCATATCTTTTTAATTTCTTATAACTTTTATCCAACAATAAATGCATGGCGAACTAAGAAAATCTTACTGACTTTAGGACTGAAAAGTCCATTTAAAAGTACAAAATTACAATGTAGCGTCCATATGAAAAAACAAAGTTGGTGATGGAAGTCGGAAGAAGAAACCTCTAATTGAAAACGCCATCTTGTAGAGGAGAATACGTAACAATGACAACATCCAATTTATTTTGAAACCGAATCTCAAATAAAGTCAGTAAAAGATAGAGACAATTTTGGGATAGATCTGGTATGCAAAACAAATGACTTCAAGGCCTACATAGGAAATTCTGCTTTTTTGAAATAACTGAAGTTTGGAAATGTCAATGTTGACGTATTATATTTTTTTGAAATCAGAATTAAAAACTCTATTCACACGAGCAAAAATTAAATAAGGCGACCTTAACCCTATATCTGGTGCTGTAGCCTGTAGGCAACATCATCTTTAAACCTCAATTTCTCGTCCTGCCTGCTCTAACGGTCTGATTGGGCAGTGTTGCGCGTAAGCTACATTATTCATTAACGGAAATAATATTATGAGCGACATCTGTTTATAAAAAGTTGAGTCAAAATTTTCAATATGGTTGCCGCGTAACAGGTGTTTGGTGCACGTATGAATCTGTAGTTGGGATTTTAGTTGCAAATGGTAAGTAATCATTTGTTTTTATGTTCTATTAGCCTTGGTTGGTATAAAAGAAGGTTGAGTCTTTATGTTTATGATTATTTTCAAGCGATAGATCAGAAAATAAGGCAGGAAAATGACTTTGTTTAGTATGTATCCCTCAAGCAACATTGCCAGAATAATTACGTTTTCTTTTTCAGTCTTCCGATCTGGATAATTTTCCAACCATAAGCACTACATGTTTTTTCGGCAAAAAGAAGGCACCGACCGTAATTCCCACAGATCCGCATATTTCCGATGTCTCAGACGACGATTTCATTGACGGAGAAAATAATTTCCAAACAAATGAGCTTAACGGTGAAGAAGAAGTGCCTTCAGGACTTAACGTGCTGGTTCCAGAAAGTAATTCTAAATTCGAAGAAAGCGACGATAAAACTGAGCCGCCACCACCACAAAGACGAAAAACTGAATCATATTCTTGGATAACATACATTCTCCAGACTTTCCTGAACCTGACAACATTGCAGTTCCCATTGAGTATTTTACAAAGTTTTTTTCATTTGATCTAATGGACAAAATAGTCTATCAGATAAATCTTTATAGTACTCAGCAACTTGGGCAATGTATTGATACAAATCCGTCAAAAATAACGGATTTTCTATCTATACTCTTGATTATGGGTGTAATAAGACTTCGTGCCATAGAAGATGTTTGAGCAGCTAGTACAAGAGTAGATCACATGGCCAATATAATGCCTCTGAAGAGGTTTCAGAAACTAAGACGGTTTATCCATTTCAATGGTAATACTAACATAACATAGCAGACAAAGGATCGATATTTCAAAATTAGACCCTTATTAGAAATTGTAAGCAAGAACTGTTATAAACTCCAGTTTGAAAATCAATAATCAATTGATGAAACAATGGTGTCTTACAAAGGCACATATGCGGGCAACTTGAAGCAGTATATCCAAAATAAACCCCACAAATGGTGGTTTAAATTTTTTACTCGTGCTGGGGTTTCTGGTTATATTGCCGACTTCATACCCTATCAGGGAGCTGCGACATTTGAAGTGCTTAGATGATCTCCGAATTAGTTAGATGATTATGAAGTAAATCTAGCTGTAGGTACTAGCGCCGTCATTTCTCTGTGCAAAACCCTAAGCGAACCGAAAAACACTGCTATATTCTGTGACAATTGGTTTTCAAGTGTAAAATTATTTATTTATCTAAATGACCGATTCGGGATACTTGGTTTAGGAACTATAAGGTCTAACAGAATAGCTGGATGCCAACTTGCAACCGATAAAGTGCTTCAAAAAAGGGGAACAGGATCCTACGTTTATAAAGCAGATACAGACAAAGGTATAATAGTAGTAAAATGGGCTGACAGTAAATGTGTTTTATTAGCAAGTACATTATGTGGCCTAAATCCCGTAAAATCGATAAAAATATATTCGAAAGTGGAAAAGAAAAAAATTGCCATCCCTTGTCCGTCCGTTATAACGCATTAACAATAAGCACAAAGGCGGTGTCGATAAGGCCAATTCATTACTTGGTCTGTATCGCAGTCCAAGCAGATCGAAAAGATGGTACTTCCCAATTTTCACAAGGGTTCTTGATATGTCAGTGATCAACGCCTGGCTTCTGTATAGAAAGGACTGCAACATAGCACGTGTAACGTCAAAACCGCTAAAGGAGTTCCGTATGGAATTAGCCAAATCGTTGGCCAACGCAGGAAAACAAGTCCGTGGTAGACCAACCATTTCCTTGACTAGTAAATCCCTGCGAAAATAATATCAAACCCTATACTGCCGAGACCTGATATCACCACCCAAAAAGATGGCATTGGTCATTGGTCAACTTATGGTACAAAAGGTAGAAATAGGCACTGTGCCAAAGGATTTACAACAATCTTTTGTACCAAGTGCAATGTTAGGCTTTGTTTCATCACAAATAGGAATTGTTTCTACCTTTTCCATTCCAATTAGATTTAGCTGTTTCATCAGATTGTATTTTGTAAAACTAGAAATATATATTTTGTTTATTTCTTGATTGTTTTATAAATAAATGGTTTGAAATGTATATTTCCATATAAACCAGTGCAATTAGGTTTACCTTTATCGGTCAATGTTGCTTGCAAGTAACAATAGAACTTATACTTTATCTCGCAATGTTGCTGGCAAGCAACTAATTCTAAAGTCATTCTCCCAGGTTACTTTTCAACTTTTATAATATCTTATGTCATCTATAAGTCATAACTGATAACCTATGTCAATATTAGATTTTTCCAATAAGGCGTCGCGCAAAGGCAGATACAGGGTTAAGAAAAAATGAAGACGATGCTAGAGGACGAAACGTCATATTGAAATTCTAATGATGCCATCTTGTAGAGGAGAAAAAGTGACGATGTGATGTGCAATTTATGTTGAAATCTCGCAACAAATAAAATCAAGAAAAAATTAAAACGAAGTACTGCGAATGTCTAAACTTTCTAACGGGCATTTTTAAATACGCAGTTTTGCCCCCATTTAGGCGACTTCGTATCTCTTAAAGTTTCCGGGATCACAGTGGAATATGAAACACCTGGTATATCTACCTTCAGGCGTGCTTAATTCAACCCTGTCGCAAAATCCGCTCTAAACTGACATCTCCTGTCCTTAAAGTAGTTTCCTATTTTTTGTTCAGCAAGTGAAAGCTCTCCTTGCGGACAGCTCCTATAAGCGGACATCTCTTTTAACCGGACAAAGTTCCTGGAACCGAATTTCAGCCATCAATTTCCAATGTTAAATACATTCCGATAAACGGACGCTCTTATAAACGTACGCGGACTCTAGATTTTCCTGTATGTGATCAAAAAATCTCCCATAAGCGGACGCGAAACTCTAACGATTTTTTAGTTCCGCTTATTGCAATGCACATATCTACATACATAAAATTCGGTAATTCCCCGATTTATATTAGGTGATTCCCCATTTACGCATTTCGTTGGGTAGCCTGTATGTAATCTTGTGGCTTGTCTTCAGTTCAGGCAAATTCGTAGTTGATTGAGTTACGTATTTTATTATTGTAACTGTAAAATGGCACTAAAAAAAAAAAGGATGCTCTCGTTAAAGGAAAAGATGGAAGTTGTTAACGTATTAGTCAGAGAAAGTGTTTCAGTTCGTCATTTGGCAAAGAGGTTTAATATTGGGAAAACGCAAGCAGCTGAAATTGCCAAAAATAAGGAAGATATCAGGAGTAAATGGCAATCAGGAACTAATATAAATCAAAAGAAGGATTTTTTAAAAAAGGAAGGTTTTGCTATAGACAAAACATGTTTTAAGTGGTTTGTGAAAGCTAGAAGTCAGAACATTCCAATCTCAGGGCCGTTAGTGAAAATGAAAGCTAAAGAAATCGCCACTACTTTGGGCTATAATAATTTCAGTGCGTCCGACGGGTGGCTGCAAAAGTGGCGCAAGAGACATAGTGTGAGTTTCAAATGCATATCTGGCGAAGCTGCTGCAGTAGATCAAGTTGATGTGTCACAATTTTTGGAGAAACTTCCGTCCATGTTGCTTGGCTACAAACCAGAAGATGTGTACAACGCAGATGAGAGTGGACTTTTTTTTCGCGCATTGCCCGACAAAACTCTGTCCTTTAAAGGAGAAACATGTGTGGGTGGAAAGTTGTCTAAAGATAGACTAACCATTTTATTCTGTGCAAATATGGCCGGTGAAAAATGCGATTTGATTGTGATCGGGAAAGCGGCTCGTCCCCGTGCTTTAAAAAACGTTGCTATTAAGGATCTACCAGCGACTTGGAAATCCAACAAAAAGGCATGGATGATCCGAGAAATCATGTCTGAGTGGTTAGTCGAATTCGACCGGAAAATGAGAATCCAAAAAAGGCAAGTTCTTTTATTTTTAGACAATGCATGCTCTCATCCTCGTGATATGAAAATGAAAAATGTGAAAATTATATTTTTACCGCCAAACACAACTTCTGTTTGTCAGCCCGTGGATCAAGGTGTCATACAGAACTTTAAATTTTATTATCGGCACTTGATTTTAAAACATATTTTAACAAAAATTGACGACGGTAAAGCTTATCTGAGCTTACAAAGTCTATCAATGTGTTAGAAGCTTTGTATTTTCTAAAAACAGCATGGAATAAAGTAAATTCCTCTACAATTAAAAACTGTTTTGGCAAAGCTGGATTCAGAAAAAGTGAATGTAGCTCAGAATTTGCTGAGCAAAATTATTGCGATGCTGATGACGATCTGCCCTTAGCGACACTTGCTCAGTTACTGCGACATGCCAAACATTTAGGAGTAGCAGATCCCCAGAAAGTAGATGATTTCCTGGCCATAGACAATAACATAACAACAGAAGAAAATGCCATTGGCAACTTTTCGAATTTGGATGTAGAAAGCCCAGGCCAACTTGAATATGGTAGTCCAAACGACTCAGAAGAAGAAGTGGAACTGGTGGACTCACTAAGCGGTTCAAAAATGATAAATTCATATGGGGAAGCTCTAAATCATATTTCTATATTGAAAAAATTTGCTAAAGATGATTTCACTACATTTCAACATTTGAAAAATTTAGAAAGTTATTACGAAAATTGTCTCCTTCAGCAAAAGATGGTGAAATTTCGTCAGACAAACATTTTAAACTTTTTTCAACAAGCTAAAGAATAATGTTTTTTTTTAAATTCTCGTACCATGTATTGAAGCATTTATGTTTTTGTATGCGTATATGTACATATATTATATAGATATATAGCATAAATACATACTTTAAAAATGTGGCGAGTTTCTGTTTCATTTTCTCATGATTATAATACCTCATTTCCTCATGATTATATACCCCGTTATTTATACTCTATACTTACATTTTTTAAACGGACACCTCCCATAAGCGGACAAAAGTTACGGAACCGTGAGTGTCCGCTTATGGGAGCTTTCACTGTAGTTTACTATAAACGTAACTGAAAACTGATAAGGTTTCCCGTAGAAAAATATTCAACCTGCTCCTATTTCTGGAATTCTCTGACGATGTTTCTTTATTCGAAAAATGAAATTATAAATAAATTTTTCAGGTTCTTCAGCTTCAACAATGTTAACCAACACTTCATCCGTAACTTAAAGTCACTTTGACTCCCGATTTCAACCCCTGAAGTCTTATTTTCGCAATAAAATGTAGCATATGTCCGTTTCCAAGGTCTAATCTATATCTGTGCCAAAACGGAACACACAAACATACCTACGCATTTTCGCATTTATAATACAGTGGACCCCCGATAATCCGGCCTCTGTCTAATCCGGCGCCCCCTGTAATCCGACATGTCTTTGAATAAGTATTACATACATACGTATTTGACAATCTTCGCTAATGTAGATCACGCAGGTTTGAACAGGTTACAACTTGTACGCGCCACCGCTATCGTGCTCAACAAGTTTGCATTGTTTTACTTAGTTTGAATTTGACTACTTGTGATAGAGGTACCGCCTAGCGTGCGTTCATTATTTACTATTTATTCATTGTGTATTAAGTATAGTACCTAGTAATGTCATCACAAACTCAGAAGCGAAAGCACAAAACATTGACAATTAAAGAAAAATGTGATATTTTAGACCGCTTAAATCGCATCCAGAAGTGGTAGAAGCTTTGTATATGTGGTTTCTTCAGGAAAGAAATAGGCATGCACCAATTTCAGGACCCATGTTGGCCATGAAAGCTAAGTTTTTTCATAAGGAAATAACAAATAAAGATGATTTTGTGGCCAGCAAAGGATGGCTAGTACGTTTTAAAAGTCGTCATGGCATACGTTTAATGACTATTACAGGAGAGAAACTTTCTAACGATGCCACCTGCATAGAGCCCTTTAAATTAAGATTTTTGCAAAAGGTGAACGATTTAAATCTTGACCCGTCACAGGTGTATAATGCAGACGAATCAGGGCTTTTTTGGTGTGTGATGCCTAACAAAACTTTCGTTTCTTGTAACGAAAAATCCGTACCTGGACGAAAAGTAAATAAAGAGCGTGTAACCATACTACCATGTGCTAACGCTGCGGGCACTCACGCGCTTAAGATGATGGTCATTGGGAAATCTAATAAACCACGGGCATTCAAAAACATTGATTTACCTGTACACTATTACGGACAAAAAAGTGCATGGATGACAAAAGACCTTTTCAAAAAGTGGTTTGATGAATGCTTCGTACCTGAAGTTAGAAAATGGTTAAAAGATCATAATTTTCCTCATAAAGCGTTGTTGCTCCCGGTCATCCGTCTGAAGAAGAACTAACAACTGAGGATAAATGCATCACTGCGATGTTTCTTCCGCCAAATTCCACTGCACTGATTCAACCAATGGACCAGAATATCATTTAGTTTGTCAAGCAAAACTATAAGAAAAACCTACTTCTGAGAGCCGTATCAAAAGACCAACCAATAGAAAAAACTTTAAAAGAATTTAATATGAAAGACTTGGTTTTTGCTCTTTGTCAGTCGTGGAATGCGTTACCGTCATCAACTATTAAATCGTCTTGGAAAATGTTATGGCCAGATATAGTCACCATTCCTAGCAAAGTTCCACAAATCAGTGTTACTTCGGAAGTTATAGAACAAGTCGCTACTGAAACACAGATAAGTCCGGAAGATTTGGAAATCTGGTGCCGTGGAATGGATAAGGAGGAAAATGTTTTTCATGAAATGTCTGACGAAGAGATTATAAAAGAGGTTTCTAATTATACAATAAACAATCACCCTGGGTAACTCAGATCACGGTGTTGTGGAGGTCAGGTTTCGGTCAGAAGCCGCTGTGGCAGCAGAAACTCGCACAGGCCGCAAAACTTGGCATTACGGACATGCCGACTGGGAGGGGCTCAGAGACTTCTTCTCTAGCTTTCCTTGGAGAGATGTCTGTTTCACTGACGCGGATGCGTCGACTGTCTGTTCTTCAATAACCGAAATTATCCACGTCGGAATGGAGGAATACATCCCTCACACAGTGAAAGTTCCTAAACCAGGGTCCAACGGCTGGTTCAACAAATCGTGTGACACTGCTCGCCAGCAGAAGATCAAGGCCCACAGAACCTACTTGCAAAACCCCACTGTAGAGAACAGACAAGCCGACGTCGAGTCCAGAAACAAATATAACGAAGCGGTTCGCAATGCCAAAAACCAGCATGATATAAAAGTTAGGCACAGGGTAATGTCGCAGCGCAATGGCAGTCGGTCTTTCTGGACGCTGGCCAAGCAGATTGAAAAGAACTTCTCACACAGTAGCCTTCCACCACTTACGTGTCAGGATGGAACTATTGTATTCGACTCAAAGGTCAAGGCGGAAGTGCTAGCCAAGATCTTTGCTGCCAACTCCACCATGGACGTCCCCACCAACGCCCAAGTGCCGTCAATTCAAAGGGTTCCCCACACTATGCGGGAGGTAACATTCAGGCATAAGACCGTAAGACGAGTGCTCTTGTCGCTCGACATCAACAAAGCTTCTGGTCTGGACTTGATTCCTGCCATTGTACTGAAGAGATGTGCAGCGGAGCTTGCTCCAGTTCTTTCGCGCCTCTTCCAGATATCTTATGAATCCGGCACGTTCCCAGAAAACTGGAAATTTGCTCATGTACAGCCCATCCCAAAAAAAGGATCTAAAACCGACCCTTACAACTACAGGCCTATAGCTCTGCTTTCTGTTATAAGTAAAGTGATGGAGAGGTGCATAAATCGCGAGCTTCTGGACTACCTCGAACGTCACAGCTTGATTAGCGACAGGCAGTACGGTTTCCGGCACCAACGATCCACAGGGGACCTCCTAGCTTACGTCACGCAACTGTGGAGTAAACTCATCCAGTCTCATGGTGAGGCTCATGTCGTTGCTCTTGACATCACGAAAGCGTTCGATCAGCTGTGGCACGCTGCCCTCTTAAGCAAACTTCCATCCTACGGCCTCCCAGAAAAGCTTTGCAGAAGGGTGGCTGACTTTATCTCTGGCCGCAAGATATCCGTCGTAATTGACGGATTCTCCTCTTCATCCCACAACGTCCACGCGGGTGTTCCCCAGGGATCGGTCTTGGCTCCAACACTGTTTCTCTTACATATCAACGACCTCCTCTCCTGCACGATCAACCCAATCCACAGCTTCGCTGATGACAGCACTCTACATGCAGGAATTCAGAGTGACAAGCCGATCTCTGCCGCTGAGCTGGAAAAAAGAAGACTAGCGACGACTTCTTCTCTGACAAGAGACCTGGAGGCTATCACTGCTTGGGGACGCAACAATCTTGTACAGTTCAATGCTTCCAAAACACAGTACTGTACTTTGACGAACAAAAAGCGTCCTACCGCTCATACAGTTTCGATAGACGGTCGAGTTCTACCAAAGAGCCATTCATTTCGGCTGGTCGGAGTCCAGATCACCGAGGACCTGATCTGGCAGGAACACATCTCTTCAATAGCTGCAGCTGCTGGGAAAAAGCTAGGCTATTTGTTTAGGGCTAAGAAGTACTTTTCTCCGCATGACCTTCTAACTCTATACAAGGCCCAGATAAGGCCTAGCCTCGAGTATTGCTCACACATCTGGGGTGCTGCCGCCCCGACTACATTGTCCATGCTCGATGCTGTCCAGAGAAGGGCGGTCCGACTGATCGATGACTCTTCCCTAACAGACAGTCTCGGGACTCTTTCGCACCGGCGGGCCGTCGGCGATCTAGCTCTTTTCTATCGCTACACCAACGGGCTTTGCTCCTCAGAGCTCTCTTCCATGATGCCGCCGCGCGATGTGCCTGCCAGACAGACCCGCCTGACTTCGGCGTCCCATCCTAACCGTGTCAAACTTCGTACATCCAGAACTGGAACAATCTACGGGAGGAATCTACGGAAGGAAGCTTTTCCCAGTTCTACTAACCTTAGGCAGTTCAAAAATCGTATTAACAAAATTTCTTTGGGATCATCATAGCAGCCGCGGTGTTCCGGCATTTAGGCTTCTGCCTGCGCGGCTGTTTCGATATAAAAAAAAAATCAGGAAAATAACGACGACGTGATTGCAACTGCTCCACAAGTCACAGCACAAGACGCAATTATCGCCTTTGAGCTAGGTTTACAATGGGCTGAAGAGAATGGTACATCCTACAACGAACTTTTACTTTTGAGAAGACTGAGGGATAAAGCTCTGATCTCGCGTTAAAACAACCTTAAACAAAAAAAAATTGATGAATATTTCCAAGCTTCATAATTGGATAAATTCATTAATGATTTTGATTAATAATTCTTGATTATTTTGGTACATATGTATGTGCATTTATGCTTAATTTTATAATAAAACGTAAGCTCTCTATTGTTATTTAATTTACTAAATTCGACATACATAAACTATGTATGATTTGTACTTCAAAGTACATACATATACATAACATATATAATCTTACCATTTGGATACGTAATCTTTCGGATTACAAGGTACTTTTGTAAAAAATTCCGGACTATAGGGGGTCTTAGGCAGTGCTCTATAATCCGACAAATTCGATGGTCCGACACTGCCCTGCATAATGTTTGTCGGATTACTGGAGGTCCACTGTATTGGTAGGGATGACGACGGTCACAAAAACTCATTCAAACAAACAAAATACTTTCATAAAACCTCATCAGGTCTACCGGTGCACTTATGCTGCTTCAACAAATGTTTCGTATTGAATTTCCTGGTACATAAAAAACAAAAATGCGGCCTTTCTCCGGTATGTATCCTCTTATGCACATTCAAAGCCGACTTCTGAGTGAATCCTTTGGAGCAAATATCACATTTGTAAGGTCTCTCTTTGGTATGCACTCTCCTGTGGTCCACGAGAGTCTCGTTTCTAGCGAAGGTCTTGCCACAAAATTCGCACTCGTACGGCTTCTCTCCTGTGTGAGTGCGTCTGTGATTGGTCAGGTGGCTCCTGCTAGACATGACCAAGCCGCAAATGTCACAAACAACGTTAGCGTCCTTCTCGCCAGCATGCATCTTCATGTGTCGGTCGTGCGATTTCATCGAAAGCACCTTCTGGCAAATTTCGCAAGTGAACTGAGGCGGAACATAGTTTGGATCGTGCGTCTTTAAATGCAACTTGAAATGGTTATAGTCCTTGAATTCCTTCCCGCAGAGCAAGCAGTTGTACCTCAGCCCTTCGTGGTCAAACTGTATGTGCTTGGTCAGCTCACTCTGAGTATTGTAGCCTTTGGCGCATTTGTCGCAACAAAACTTGTACTTTTTCAGATGGACGTTGTCTATGTGAAGCTTGAGGCCGTTCTTGTTCAGACAAACTTGGTCGCAATAGTCGCATTTGCAGACGAATTTCCTGAAGTGCTTGAAGTTTTTATGATAATCCAAATTATATTTTTGCAGGAATACTTTGTCACACAAGTCGCAAGCAAACCTTTTCTCTGAATGGACTATTTTGTGCTTTCGTAAGTTTGAAGGAGAAGAGAATGCTTTGGAGCATGTTGGGCAGTTGTAGCACTTCGGCTCAGAGTCAGGTTCTTCCCTTTCCTTTTTTATCTGCGACCTAAAAGCAGCGTAAATTAATATAATGAAGTGTGTAGGGTGATTGAAAAACAGTTTTGTGGGGAACAAATCTTGTCCAAAAGTGTCCGAAAGTTTCTAGTGGCTGTGATTGATCGAGAGCACAATGAATTAAAACAGTTTACCTTTATCATCAAACAAAACTGCAGCTCTTCAGCTCGCGCGATATAGAAGGCCAATTTAAAAATTAACTGCTCACCGAATTGTTGTCATCTTGTTGAAATATACTAAGTGACATATAAATCCGAACACCCAGTTTAAATGATTTTATTTTAATAAAAGTTGGTGAATGTATTTATCTTACTGTAAATAACAAGTGAAAAAATTTTCAGCCTTATCAGTTGGACATTCCGGTTTTTATACTGCTTTTTTTTAATTCACTAACGCTCTAAAAATGAATATTTCAGCCGCAGTGAAGAATCAACGTTGGCGGATTTTGGTTCTTGACATCCTTTACGATCGGTTACGATGCCTAGAGTACGGAGACCTGTACGATTTCGTCAACTTAGTGAGTTTGATAGGGGCCGTATAGTGGGACTTCGGGAAGCTGGACTTTCTTTTCGGGCAATTGCAGTTAGAGTGCAAAGAAGTGTAGACACTGTGGTTAGGTGTTGTCAGGCATGGCTTCGAGAAGGCCGTACGCAAAGAGCAAGGGGCACTGGACGCCGCCGTAGAACAACAGACCGTGAAGATCGCCGCCTAAGATTATTGGCCTTAAGGGACCGTTTCTCCACTACCAGGTCCATTGCAAATGAATGGTTTGCAGAACACGGAAGACCTATTGGCTTGCGAAGTGTTTACCGACGAATGAGAAGTTTTGGCTTGTTTTCATACCGGCCACACTGGGTCCTCCCTTTAACTCGAGAACACCGACGTAATCGCCTTGAGTGGTGCAGACAACGGTTACTCTGGGATCAGGAATGGAAGAGTATTGTCTTTAGTGACGAGTCTCGATTTTGTTTAGGCATGCACGATGGTCGTGCCAGGG